GGCTAGCAGGAAAAATAAAAGGAAGATCATCTTCCTCCATAGGGTCATCCAGGAAGCTGCCACACACACACTGAAGTTCTGGCAGAGAGGGAACCCACATCCCTTGCAGGCACAGCAGGAGAACACTCTGATTTATCTCTACACCTTTTTAGTCTCATCTGTGAGCTGTGGAAACTCAATACTGCTGGAGGGAATTTGGATCAGATCAAGCTGGACCTCACCACCCCCAGCTGTCAGATCTCAGATTGCCCTCTTAGTCTGGTTAATGCTAAAGGCAAAAAACTCCCAGCTACAAGAGTTTAATTACACTCCACACACTTGGTGCATTTACTAATCAGTTATGTGATCTCAGCTTACTCTGTGCTGAGTCCCAAGAATGTTTCTCACAATAAATTGTGATGTAGAGGGTGTGAAACACAGCACAAAAAGTCTGTACACTCCACAAAAACACAGAACAGCCACACCTGGAAAACCTTGGATCCAGCATGAGGAAGGAGAAATACTACAGGAAGGAATTTCCTAACAGGATAAAGCTAGAAAATAGCAAGGAGAAGGTAAATCAGTTAACTTAAGCCATGTAGATAACAGAGAGATTGGCAGGAAATTTATTCCATGAGTTAAAAGTTACCTTAAAAGGTCAAAGATTGAAAATATTTGGAGAGAAAGGTTGTTCCATTCAAATATTAAAAGACCAGTAAGGTTTTAGATGGATTTCCTCTCATGTTTTTCTGCTAATATTTACATTCCTGAAGAAAACCAAGTGCAGGGATAAAAACCAGGAGGGAAGTAGTTACAAAATAAAGTGTCTAAAGATAGTCAGCCTTGGTTCTGCTTTCAGCTGCTGCCATCTCGTGGTCTGCTCTCCCTCTCCTGGGCTCAGCACCTCCAATGCTCCAAGGAGGAGCAGTCATCGCAAGGGCAAGGCCAGAACAAGACAGCAGCAGGAAAAAAATAACAAAAGAAGGTTTTTCCATGAGTCCAGAGAAGCTCTGGCTGCCAGCAGGTGTGAAACACTCCCACCTCTCTCCCCTCACTGTTATCTATTGCTGGCTGTGAACAGTGTTCTGCAGTAACAGTGCACAGAAATCTCATTTTGGAGCCATATTTTTGTTGGAACATGAGGATTATGGGAGAAGAGGCTTCTGAGTTGCATTTCACCCAGGTTACCAGCAAGAGAGGTGCTGAGGGCTGAGCAAGAGCAGCAGCCCAAGGCAGCCAGGCCCCAGCTTTATACTCCTCCAGTCCTGCTTCTGCTGAGCTTTATGTGCAGAAATGCAGGGTGAAAAAAGAAGGATTTGCCTTAAGACAGCTTTGGGAAGAAATGAGGGATCCCTCTATGGAAGGATCCTCTTCAGCAGCATCCCAAGTGACAAAGGGCAGCCACAGGCACTTCAGAGCCATCTGTCAAATGAGATTGAAGACTTCTTCACAATCTAACTTCTGCAGGGCAACTGAACCTTGCCCTTGTGAAAGGTTTTGGGCCACGGCCTGCACAACACAACTCAGATAACCTTGCTGTCATGCCAAAAGCCACCAGCCCACCTCAGCAGATACATCCCTATCAAGACATCTGCAATTAGAAGTTTGAATTAATTCACCCAGGGGGTGCACCTGCACAGAAGATCACTTCATGTGAACTAAGGCCACATCCTGACCACAAAAAAACCCAGATAAAGGGGAAAGAACCTTGGCTGTGCACCTACAGCACCTCAATGTCCTGAACATCCCCAAAGGCTGCTGCTTTATTAACACAGAATAATGCCATAAATCCAAAAATATGAGAGAAAAAAAAAAAGAACAAACCCAAAAGGTTTCTGACAAGGTCACCTCCAGCTTAGACATCCTTATGATGAAGGTGATCTGAGCCCAGGGAAATGTGCACCCTGATCCCTGCACAATTATGAGGCAATTAGTGAACCACAGATGGAGATGTTCCTCTACCAACACCCAGCTAAAATGCTTAGAGCTTGCTCATGTGCTACAGGCAACCAATTACAAAGCCATAATAAAAGCCTTCTTGAAGACTATTTTTCAGCTGCAGCCTTTTTTAGCTCCTGCTCAAAATCCTCATTTCTCAGAAGAGAGAATAAGTGTGGATTTCCCATCTCAAAAATTCTGCTTCATTAAGGATCTAATGTTGCCCATTTCCACAAGCCATCAAAAGAGGAGAAACATTTATAATATAAATATGAATGAGCCTGGCTAACAGGTTGCAATGATTGAGATGCACCATTTACAGAGGAATAGGCCATCAGAATAGATCCATCTGTACCATTCCTTCCAGCAATCTTTTCTTTTTGATAGCCAATACTGATACACACATTTTACTTAAGAAGACCTTCCAGGCAGGACTGCATTCCAAGGAAAAATACCTTCATAAATACCAACTTGCACACAAATATAACTTATTTGGCAAACACAATTCAAGGTCATCAGGAAGTTTCACATGGAGAAAGCAGCAATGAAGTGGATGGTTTGACCAGGAAGATTAACCTTAATTAGGGGTGGATAATTCCTGTACTTTTGAGGGAGCCACTGTGCCACAAAGGAAGGAATTTCAAAGAGGATCAACTTTACTAAAAGGTTAGTTGATTTAACTACTAAAATTTCTTTTCCTTTTCTACTAAACTTGTAACCAGATTAAATATTGTATTAAATCACCATCTCTAAGAGCACCAAGCCTTTGATAAAACCTCTCCCCATGCATCCTTAAAAAGCAGCAATATTATGCCCCATCTACAGTAAAACCTGGGAATCCAGCTCATAGAACACCAGCTACAGAATCCTCTCAAAGCCTGCAGACCTGAAAACACACCCCAGGCTCTCCTTCATCACCACCACTCCCCAAAGTGCATTTTCCAGCTGTGAATCCTCAGTTTTGGAAAGAGCAGTGAGTACAACATGAGGCAGGTACTGTGCCCCTGCACAGCTTCAGGAGAGCTGTCCCAGCCCAGCCTCATCACCACCCAGGAGCTCATGGTTTTCCTGATGTTTTATTAGGAAGCCCTGTGCTACTTTTGGAGGTTTACATAGCAAATGGAACACACACTGCCCTTTGGTATTTTTCTTCTCACCATTCATTTAAGTTTATATTAAGTTAATGCACTTTTTAAATACATATCTGTGCTCTCCTGTCAGCCAGTGGTTCATTTATCAAACCACTGAGTCACACAGAGATCAACAAGCACAAAGGGCAAGCAAAACCTTGTTATTTGTACTGAAGTACTATATCTTTTCAGCCAGAACTCTTCACCTTATATCCATGTGGCTGCAATCAGAACAAAAACAGAGCTGGAACCAAGGCTGGAAGAAGGGGAGTTCTGTCCCTGACCTCCACTCCTGCCTGGGAGCTGCTGAACACCAGGGCCAGCACTGAAGTGGAACTAAAGAAGCCCAAGCAAGTCCCTTCAGAGGCTGCAAGGCACACCCTCCACACTGAGCTGGACCAGCAGGTGTTGCTCTGCCAGCCTCAGAATTGCCTAGACAAAGAAAGCACCTTCAAGCAGTCATCAATATTCACACAGAAGCCTGGCATAAGAAAAAAAAATCAGGGAGGCAGATAAAAAGAACAAGTTGTAAAAGAGCTGGGTATCAGAGAAAAGAGGTGTCTGTATCTCCTCAGAGACACCACCACTCAGACTGCTGCCTGTGACAGTCAGACACCTCGAGTTTTACTGTCTCTACAAAGTCTTACAAAGAGCAATCAGCAGCCTTCACTCTCCTGCTAAAGGGGATGGCACCTTACCACCTGCATTTGGTTTATCTCAGGTGCCCCAAGAATACAGCAGGACAGAAATTCTGTGGTTTGACTCATGCACCACAGAAAGAGCTGTTAAACTGCCCTAGTAACACGAGATTATTTCTTTACCCAGAGTCCATTCTCTAAAAGAGCTAAAAAAGTAGCAGTCACATTCTTAAACTGTGAGTTAAACTGAGCTGCAAAAGTTTTCTTCCCTGCTAAGGGTCAGGCTGATATTGGTATGCTCCCTGGATTCCAGCAGGGAACAGTATTAAATGAAAGGATGATGCACTGGGACACTTCAGTTCCTTGGCCACCACCTTTTAGTCACAAGATAATAGCAGGAGACACCTGGCTTGGAAGTGGACCCTTCATCAAGCATAATTAAATGCTGATTTAGTAAGTAATTTACTCCTCTGAAATTCTTGGTCATGATCTCCACCTCTCCTCTGACAACTCATTTAACTTTATTAAAAACATTAGCATTGATTTTCTCCACTCATTACAAGCCAGTGGATTTATCTGCATTAGCAAATTAATTCATCCAAACTCTTATTCCAAGAAGAGCCAAAGCCTGAAGGAAAGCAAGAGCTACATGCTGTCACCAAGGCAGCAGCATCACATATTTCTTGCTCTTCTGACTCACCTGGCCAGGAAGTTACACTTCTGCAGCATTCAGAACAGGCAAAAGCCCAAAGAGAACTAACAACAGAAGATACTCCTTGTTTTCTGAGGCAACAAGTGTTCCCTAATCAAAATCATCCCAGAACCTTTCACGTTTGTGATTTCCAAACAACACAAACTCAAGCATGTGGCATTCACATTCTCTGAACATGATTCCTTCACCCAGGGTTCTCTCCTGGGAAGCTGAAAGGTAGTGAGAGACCTCAGAAAAAAGTCAAACAATTCTTATCTCATTTCCTTCTTCTGTGTTGTGCTCCTTTGGAATGTGTTTGGAGATTGTTTACCCAAGGTGATTGCCTGATTGGACTCTGGTTTGAGTTGTTTTGTCTCATTGGCCAATTGGGGCCAATCTGTGCCGAGACTCTGGAAAGAGTCACGAGTTTTCATTATGATCTTTTTAGCATTCAGTAAGTATCCTTTCTGTATTCTTTAGTACAGTGTAGTATTCTTTAATATAATATAGTATTATAAAGTAATAAATGAGCCTTCTGAGAACATGGAGTCAGATGCATCCCTCTTCCCTGCCACAGGGCTCATTGTGAATTTACAGTAAAGCAACGTGCTGGGAACACCTTACCATGGGATTGGAGTCTGCAATGAGATCCCGCAGGGAATCCAGGAACCCTTGGTCCTCCACCATCTGGGCGTTGATGTCGTGCAGCTTGGCCACGCAGACAGCTGCAGTTTTCCTGACGTAGGGGTCCTCGTCCTTGAGGCACTTGCGCAGGGGCTCGCACAGGTACTCGGTGATCTTGTCCACGCGGATGCAGCCCATGGTGCGCACGGCCAGGGCGCGGATCAGCGGGTTGGGGTCCTCGCAGTCCTGCACAGAGCACAAACACATCTGCACACCCTGCAGCCAGGCTGCTCTCACCTAAGCAGCATCTCTCTGATTGCATGCTAAGAGCCAGGCAGTTGTTTCAGACCAGGGATAAAAGGGCACTTGCTGCTTCGCAGAAATATTTTACGCTGTCTCGAGATGTTTCGCATCCCTTCGTTGTCCCAGCAAAGCTGCTTTCAACGTGATCCAACAGCTAAGCTGGAGAGGCAGCTCTCAGCACCCAAAACCTCACCACAGACAAAGTAATTTACTGATTTCCAACCTTCCTGGTTTCAAGGAGCAAGAAATAAAATGGGGAAAATCAACAACTAAACACAATGCAACAGTCATCAAGGCCCATTTCTTAAAGGCCAAACACAAACATCCCTTAAGTTACAACGCATGAAGCACTAAGCAAAAGGCTACTCTAGAGGTGCTTTTCTAAAGAGGAAAAAGAAAAGGCAGACAGGAATGCAACATTTCCTACTCCAAGCCTATATAATTTTCCATGTATCCAATCCATCTGCATCTCTGAGCTCCTCCAAAATCAGCCTGTAAAAGGATGGCTACAGAATGACCTACAAAAACATTTACCTTTCACTGTTCAAACTTCCTGCAGCTGAAAAACTAAAGTCTGGAAGAGAAGTGACACATCCCACCAGTGCATTCCCCACCTTGAACTGGGAAGTGCTGAGTTAGTGCAGACCAGTGTCAACACCTGCTCTTCACTAACACCTGTCCCTCAAGCTGCCAAAAGAGACACCAGGCTTTCCTCTGCAGGGTGTGAGATGGAAAATATAATTTTGTTACATTCTAAAAGAACTGTGCTTTAAAGACAGACAATATTCTTTCCAGAGAGGAAGACAGGGGCATCCTCTCCGGCCAGAAGAGTAGATCTCTCAGCTCAGGTCTGTTCACCTCCTTCTGCCTCAAGAACCACAAAAGAAACTTGGAACTCAATCCCATTCCCCAGTGTCTCATATTTTATAACACTCTGCAAGCAGTCTCAAACTTCTAAGCACTGGGTTTTATCTTGCACAACATGGGACTGAAATAACATTTCCTAGATAAGGAGAGGCAACCTGACAAGAGAACTAAAGGCAACCCAGCAATGAGGCTGTTGTTTTTCCAGTGAACTGTCTCTCAGTTTCACCAGAGATAAAGGTTTTCCACACAGAGCACAGCTGGAACATTCAAACAGGAAGTTTGATATTCATGTCTCAGATACTACAAAGGCTGAAAGATGAAACAGATAAAATCTGTTTTCCAGTACCAGAAGTTGGTAAAACAGCAGAAGCAGCTTTCCCTGGAGCAGGCTCTCTCACAGCCACTCACAGGGCTGCTGAAGTCACCTCCTCTGCAATAACCAGAAGGAACAACTGAGAGAAAGGACCCAGATCTAGTGGATTCAGCACCCCCTCTATGAGCCCAGCCCCAAAGCAGAGATAAAGCTCCCAAAGGTTGATGGACAAAGAGATGTGCTGGCAGCCACTGTGCTGGACCTGATAGGCCAGGGGAGCAGGTTACCTTCACAAAGCTGTTGACAGCCATGATGGCCATGTCTGGCTGGCTTTTGGCATAATTCATCAGGTACAGGTAGACCAGCTTCTTCAGCTCCAGGTTGTCAGTCTGCATGCAGTTGACAACATCAGGGAACAGAGAGCTGGATACAACACAACGATAAGCAAGGATGGAATCAGAGAATTGTTTAGGTTAGGAAAAGCCAGCAGTTCCCCCAGCACTGCCACAACCACGTCCCCAAGTGCCACATCTAAACACTTCTAAAACTCTTCCAGGGATGGTGACTCCACCACTGCCTGTTGCAATCCCATCTGAACATCCCTGGCACAACTTGAGGTTATTTCCTCTCATCCTGTAACTTGTAACCTGAGGGAAGGGATTGATCCCAGCTGCACCCTCCTGGCAGGGAGTTCAGAGAGTGACAACATCCCCCGTGAGCTGTCTTTTCTCCAGACTGAGCCCCCCCAGCTGCTCCTCACCAGACCTGTGCTCCAGCCCATTCTCTCCTCTGGACATGCTCCAGCCCCCCAATGTCCTTCTTGTCATGAGGGGCCCCAAAGTGACCCCAGGATGTGAGGTGTGGCCTCACCAGTGCCCAGCACAGAGGGACAATCACTGCCCTGCTCCTGCTGGTCACACTGCTCCTGATACAGACAGGTGCCATTGGCTCTCTTGGCCAGCTGGGCACTCAGCAGCTCATGTTCAGCCACATCTGACCAGCACCCCTGGTACTTTTCCATCTTTCCAGCTGCTCTTCCCCATTCCTGAGTGTTCCATGGGCTGTTGTGACCCAACCTCACACCTCTGGCCTCAGCCCATGCACTCAGCCTGCCCAGATCCCCCTGCAGAGCATTCCTGCCCTCCAGCAGATCCACACTCCCACCCACAAAATAAAAAACAGAGGTTGCATGGCATGCAAAGGGGATAGTAACAATATCAAGGAAGCCAGAAAAACTGGAGTTCCACTTTAAGCACCCTGCTGTTTAATGAAAGGTCACCTTCCTTTTCAAAGCTTTTATAATAATAATTTAATCTCTTCTCTGGCTTTAACATAGGAGGAGGTGAAAACTATTGCCATTTCCTGAATGTGTTTCAACTGGGAAGTTCACAAACAAGGAAATTCTACCGTGCCAGGCCTGGAAATGAACCCACAAGAGGAAAAATGTTGCTTTAAAATGTTGTGGTCAGGCAGGACACCTATGAAGAACCTGCCAAATTTCAGACTAGCAAAGTCCAGAGTGATTAGAAGCTTAAACACTGCAAGCTGGGTTTCACTCAAATGTCAAACAGCCATCTGTAAACAGCACTGCAGAATAACACAGGAAGTTACACAAAGATTCTGCAGCTCCCAGGTTTGCTGTGGGGATCTAAAGGTGATGGGTAAATGCTGCTGGCAGAAAAGATTAGGGGATTTTTTCCCTTTCAGTTTGTATGTTCCTTCACTCTGTGATGAAGTCATGATGCTGAATTTGCAAGCTCATATTGATTTCCGTGGCAACAGACCAGGCTGCTGTGAATCCAGAATTACTGACTCTGTTAGGCTCCAAGAACAGCAGGGAGAAAGAGAGAAAGCATTCATCCCAACAGGTTTTTCTGGTTCTCTTAGAAAACAGTACTGGGGACAGTAAATGCCAGTGTTCTTCAGCTGCAGTAAGACACAGGTTCCATTTTAACATCAGCCATTTTAAAATGCAGCTTGAATTTATGCTGTGCCAGATAAGGCTAAGAAAAACTTGGAATTATCTTTGTAACACTAAAACCCAGCACAGCAAGCAGCAAGAAAACATCACCTAAAGTGACATACAAAATGGCTGAATTCTGGGTATGCTTTAAACAAAAAGGGCTCTTGGCACTGAGATAAGCCCACACTGAAAACAGTTGTTTCTCTTGTTTTCAGTGACAGCAAGGAGTTTGAGAAACCTGTGAGTCAGGCACAGCAGAGACACAGCCATCCTCAGCTGTTCCCTGGACATGTTCACCACACCTGAGTCCCAAGACAACCTGAGCTGCCACAGGTACAAACTGCTTTTACCTGACATCCTTCCCCACAGTCATGGCTGCAATAACCTTCTTTACAGCTTCTTTCCTCTTCTCTTTCTTTTCATTGTTGAGTTCAGCCTTCAGCTCAAAAATCTCTCCTGGCAGAAGACAAAAAAACCAGATTAAACCTTTCAGAAGAAAAGGGTCTTGTTTTAGGGATAATTCAAGAGTGAATTTTTGCTTTCTTGGTCTTTATTCCCATAAAACTGGCCCAGCTGCACTTGGAAGCTGTCAGACCTTATGCAGAACATGGTTCACTGAGAAGCAAAGCTGCAACACTCAAGGGACTGATCTGACTCCACCTTGCAGAGGAAAATGCCACAAACAAGAACCATGCTGTGTGTGGCAGCTCTCCCACCTCCAGGACACCAAATCACATCCCTGGAGCATCTGTTTCTCTGAGGCAACCATTACATAACCAGCATGAAAAGATACTTGGAGATGCCAGATTCGTGCCTGCAAGAAACAAACTAAGCTAGGAATTTTGCCCAGACTTTTTAAAGTTTTGCTCATCATTGAAAGCTTCCTGAGAAAGCTGGAGCAGAGCCCAAATGCTGTGGTTCCTGAAACAGGACAGCATGTGTTTAGTCCAGTGGAAAAAAGCTAAAAAGAGCTACCACTAACAAAAGCTGCATGTAACAGAGCTTGTGTGGCTTCCAAGGCTCCCAAAGCAGCCTTTTCCACAGCATTAATTCCCCCAGATATGACTGTGTAGAAAGCCAGTTCAGGCTGGGTCACCAAAGTAGCAATCAAGTTATAAAACATGTGCAAAAGGCTGTTTATCAGGCCTGTTCCAGACACAGCCAGTGGGATGAGAAGGATAATGCTCCCAACAGACAGACAGACAGCTCTCCTCAGGAAGGACAGCCAGCAGCATTCCCACTGGGAGCCACAGCCTGAGCACATATTACAAATATCCACATATCCCTGACAAGTTCTAGCACCAATTTTCCATTCCTACACTTGCTCAGAGCAGCAGCACTAATTAAAATCTGACACAGAGAGACTGCCAGGGACTCCAAAAAAGAAGAGAAGCTGCTGCAGTGCAGAGACCACTCGTCATCCCTCCTGCCTGAGGAAGAGCCTGGCATTACTCACCCAGAGCTCCTGCCCTGGAGCAGAGCTGACACAGCTCCACTCTCAGCCAGCCCACAAAAACCTGCCTTCAGCTCTGAACTTTCAGAGCTGCTCCTTCAAAAGATGTCAACTGCATTAGGTTCATTTATGAGCTCATTGTGAAGCTTAATGACACATAAACACATCAACAGTGTGGGTTTTTTCACTGGCAGGCATTCAGAGGGAGCACTCAGCCATTTTGCAAAGGAGAGGTTAATGCAAACCATTTTCCACATCTGCTGGAGAATGATCAGGCTTAAACTGCACTCAGCAATAGTGTTTTGTTCAGGAACAGGTTAGAAGATCTGCCTGGGACAGTCTCAGCAGAACAAGCCCTGCCCTGAAACAGCTGAATGAGTAAAGTGATCTCAGAGAGCCTTTCCAGGCTTCCCATTGTTAAGGGCAGCAGCTTGTCCTGAGGTGAGGCAACCACCACACCTGCAGCAAAGGCAGAGGAAAGTCCAACAGAGCACCTGCAGCTCTGGAGAAAATGGCAGCAGGAAAACCCATTATGTTTGCTTAATGTATATATCCAACATATTGAATTCCTCACATCAGCTTAATCCTGTGATGCCCAAATGAAGAACCATCCCTAGTCTGACACTTGTTAGCCCATAACCAAAACTTTGTCTCTGCCTAGATCTGCACTCAAATCCCACTGCTTTGCTTTCTGATCCTTGAAAGAGCAGCAATTTGGGTCATTTTGTGAATCATAAAAACGTGAAATACCCCAGTTTTGTCTTTTGTCACCATGTGACCTACTTTGGAAGTTTCTCCCTGGATGATTAAGAAGAGAAACAGGGACAGAGCTACCAGAAAAGCACAAGTTCTCCTGCATGCAGTTAAAAAAGCTGTGTAAAAATAGCCACCCACCACCTCCAATCCATTGCACCAGCTCAACACCAACCTTTTTTATTGGTCGTGAAGTATTTGGAGTCCGTCATGGTTCCAGCTCCTTAAAACACCTGAGAATATGAAGAATAGAAAAAGAACAAGTCAGCTCCAAATGCTGTTTGGTGGCAACAGCCAGTTTGTGAGGCAGGAACTCGAGCGAGGACGGTTGGTGAGGGAAGGAGGAAGCAAAAGCTTCACATCCACAGGCACGAGTTCCCCAATCTTCATCCTGCACATGCTGCTGGTTTCACTTGGCAAAGCCAGGGATTTAAAGGGCTTGGTAAAAACACAACAGTGGTGCTCAGCCCAGCTTCCTAAATTCTCAGTCTCAGCAGGCAAAAGGCATTTTTTGAGCTCCTTATAACCAGCAGATGCTGGTATGCACTGCAGCTGTCTTTTCTGGGTACACAGATTCATTTTCCAAGGAAAAGCACATCCAGTGTCTCGCCTGGCAGGGAGAAGTCCATGTTTCAGACAAAGGAAACTGTCATCTCATCTCCCCCTAACGATATCTGCCTGTGCTTGCATCTGATGGAAGGCACAATTAACCCCACTTGCAACACCCACCCTCAGGCCTTTCATTCCCTCCCCTCCCTTTGTTCCCAGCAGATACAAAACAGTGGTTTTTTTTTTTGAAAAGAGAAGCCATTACTTTTCAGTTCTCTCAAGCCTGAAATTGAAATATTTCTCTGCCAAGATCTGACATCCCACCTCTGAGACACACACACAAAGCTCATTATTTCAGTGCTGCTCTGCTTTTTTTTTTCTTTTTTCCCCTGTGGACAGGATGGAGAAATGCTGTTGGAGCAGGAAATGCTCAGCAGAGCCATGAGAGTGGTCTCACCAGCACTTCTCTTGCTCCACAGAACTAAATGAATGCCTTGGAATACAGGGATTGCCCAAACATATGTGGATATCCATCATTTTATTCTTACAATTGCTAGCTCTGTGACAAATATGAAGCAATTTTCAAAACAAGCAGAGGAGTGGGCACTTTTACTGCTTTTGATGAAAGTCTGTATCAATGTTAGGAACTATGACCCTAAAACCATCTCAAAAAGGATTTTATCATTTCTTTCCTCCCTCTTCTATCTTTCTGGCCCCAATTCCCCTTCACTCACACATCCTTCCATGACCTCAAAGGCTGCCAGCAAAGCAGTAAATCATCTGTTCCCTAAATGCTGCCTGTCTTGCCTCTAAAGCCTGCAGGTCTTGCTGGCTCAGCAACAAAAGGACCAGCACAGCTCTGAACTCAGGAGTGCCCAGCAGCGCAGTCAGACTGCTCTTCCTTAACCCTTTCCTCCCTGATCCCTTCACCAACCCCAGTGCCATCACCTTCCCACTTTCCCCCACCCACCTGGACACCCCAGCAGTTGAATTCCCAGCAGTTGAAGGACAATGCCCCAATTTCCACCCTTTTTTTCATGGGGTCATCCTGTCCAGCTGCCAAACATCTGGATGAGGATCAACCTGTTGCTTTTCCCTGTTTCCTGGAGCTGCTGCCTGCCCTGTGCCTGCCTGGTTTCCACCTCACGCAATTAGGCTGAATTACTGGGTTTGGTTTGATTTCCCTCCCTTTCTGCTCCTGCCAAGCCTGGAGACAGCTCTGGGAACACAATCCTCGCGCAGAGGAGGTTTCACCTCCTTCCAAAACAGAGGCTGGCTTGGGAAAGCCACAAGGAGTGCAATTTTTCCAGCAGAAATCTCACACCCCTCCTGAAAGCAGAGGCTGCTGTGGAGCTTGTTTTGTAATTAAAATCAGAGTCTGTGTTCAGCTGCAACATTATTGCTGACAGAGTCCTTCGGGTTTGAGCTCAGCTTAAAAGGAAGACTTAAAATGTTTTTCTCTGCCAGAGTGTTTGGCCCAGTGCCATGCAAAAAGCACTGAACGTGGCCTCGATGTTCTTTGTTTGCATTATGTGGGGATTTGTCATCCAGGGTCACATCTCAGCTGAGCCACTCTAATACAGCTTTAACTGGGGCCAGAGCAGCAGATTAGAGAAAAAATGGAGGAGGGGGGGGAAAAAAACCCCAACCCAAACACTGCAAACATCAGCCCAGTTAAATAAAGCCACACACAGAGGAAGGAACCCTGCTGGATTTCAGAGATGGTCATTAAACCCCAAGTGCAGCAGATTTTGTTGTTTTTCTCCTTTCAGATATTGTTGTTTTTCTCCTTTCATATACCTGGAAACATGAAAAATCCTGGAAGCACTCAGACAGGGCCAAGCACAGCTCATGCCTTTCCTGCCTCCTTGGATGGATGTAAAAGAGCTGCCTTAGGTCCATAACCAAACAACCAACCTGCCTCACTCCACGTGCAGCACAGGATAAAGCTGCTTTTGTCACCAGCACACAGATTGCTGCTGGGTGTGTGGCAGAGCTTGCTTTGCACCCTGCTCAGAGACAGCCTGCCAGCAGCACTGGGTATTATCTCATCACTTACAATCTCAGCATGCTTTACAGCAAATGGAAGCAGATATTTAAAACACTGCTGTTTGTGTGACTGCAGAAAATGCCAGCTCCTTGTACACCAATCCAAACCCAGGAGAGCCAAGGTAAATTTTCAGACGAAAAATCCACTTTAGACTGCCCCCTCCTCACTACTGTTCTGTGCCCAGCACTTGCTGAGATGGAAACAGGTAAGAGATGTTCAAAGCTGACAGCAAAAGCTCCTCCTGATCCAACCCCAGCAAATGAGAAGAGATGAGAGGGATGGCTCCAGAAAGCTCCAGCCATGCCCAATGCTACCAACAGTGGCTTGACAATTCAATGCAGACTGAACCAAAGCAGGATCAGCCTCCTCAGCCCAAACCCACACAGAAAACCTGACCAGCACCTGCCTGACCCCACACACGACTCCAGCCAGCCTGACCTGCCCCCCAGCACTGATCCCACACGGGAGGGAGGCAGGTTTAAGGGCCTTGGGATTAAGGCAAGCTCCTGGGCATTGACACCATCAATCCCTAAACCTCTCAAGTGATCCCTGGTTTAACTCCAGTGGAAGTGGTGCCACCCATGTTTCCTGGAAAGCCTCTCAAGGAGCTGTGAGACAGCCCAAGCGTGGCCCAGGGCCACTGGGGAGCCAGGAAGATGAACAGAACAATGGAAAGTGCATGGCAGAGGGAGGGCTGTGCCTGCAGCCCTGAACTTGTGCTGGCACAAGGATTTTGTTCCCATCCTGGGGACCAAACAGCCCCATTCCCTGGGGCCCCATCCCAGCTTGGCTGCCAGCCCCTCCCACAGCTCCAGCAGGACTCCCAGCACCCACCCACACTCCAGCCTGGCATCCCAGTACCCCCCTCAAGCCCCCAGATCTCTCCCAGCACCCCCCAGCCACAGGAGCATTCCCCACAAATCCCAGTTCCCCTCCCCAGCACTCCCAGCCCTTATCCCTGCCTGCTCCCCACCCCATCCCAGTATCTTGCTGTGCTCATTCCCAGCCCAGTGTCTCCTTCCAGGACCCACTGGCCCCACTCCTCACCCTCAGCCCTCCATCTCCTCTGCAAACGGCTGCCCAGTCCTCCCAGTGGCTCCCATCCTCGTCCAGTTCATCACCAGAGCCCCTCCCAGTGCCTCTCCCATCCCATTCCAGTTCCCCCTCCCGGTACCCCCCACCCTGTCCCAGGTGTCCCTCCCAGTGCCCCTCACCCCTCCCAGTGTCCGTCCCCACCCCGTACCAGTCCCCCACCCCCAGTTTCTCTCCCCGCCCTCTCCCAGTTCCCCCCAGCACCTCACACCTCCTCCCAGCACCCTTCCCCTCACCAACGTCCCCTCCCAGCGCCCCCTCGGCCCCTCGTGCCGCCCCGGCAGTGCCCGTACCCGCCGTGCCGCGGTGCCCCGCCGCTGCCCTCGCTCCTGGCGGAGCCGCTCCCGCGCCCTCAGCCCCGGCGCCGCTCACGGACCGGACTCACCGCTGCGGGGGCGCCGGCGGAACCGGAAGCGGAGGGGCCGGGCGGACTCGCGAGCAGCGAGATCAAACCCTCCCCCGCCCAGAGCGGCCGCGCCCCGCCACCATAGAGCGGCGGCAGCGGGCGGAGCGCAGGCGGCCCGCGCTTCCGGGGGGGCGGGGCGGAGCGGCGCTCGGCGGGGCGGCGCCGAGGCGCCCCCTGGCGGCGGGGCGGAGCGGCGGTGTCATGGCGGAGGTGGGCGCTCACCTCACGGCCGCGCCGGCCGGCGAGGAGCGGCCGTCCGTGTTCGAGGCGGTGGCCCAGGACAGCCTGATGGGCGCCGTGAAACCCGCCCTGCAGCACCTGGTCAAGGTGAGGGCGGTGAAGGGAGAGGAGGGGGGCGGAGTGTAACTCCGGCCGCACTCGCAGCAGCGGGACGGTCGTGAGCCGCCTGGCTTGTGTTGGGGATTAGAGGCGTCGCTTACAGCTGCTGTGATTTATAATTTAGCCTTTACTCCGCTTTCAGGTCCTTCCCTCTGAGGGTGGGGAGGCCCTGGCACAGGCTGTGGCTGCCCCATCCCTGAGAGTGTTCAAATCCAGGCTGGACGGGGCTTGGGGCAGCCTGGGTTAGCGCAAGGTGGAACCTCATCATCTTTAATGATCTTTAATGATCTTTAATGCTCCTTCCAACCCAAACCGCTCCGATTCCTTCTGTTTTGTGTCCCTTTTGCAACAGGTGCTTGCTGAGTCCAATCCTGCCCGCTATGGCTTCCTCTGGCAGTGGTTTGATGAGATCTACGTCCTTCTGGATTTGCTGCTCCAGCAGCACTACCTGGCCAGGTGCAGCGCCTCCTTCTCTGAGAACTTCTATAGCATGAAGAGGATCCCCATGGGAGGTGGCAGACAGCAACCTCTGGCCACAGCTGGCTTGCCAAAGAGGCAGCACTGGAAGTCTCTGCTCCTGCTGGTTCTTGTTCCTTACCTGAAAGGAAAGCTGGAGAAACTGGTGTCCAGCCTGAGGGAAGAGGATGAATACTCCATCCACCCTCCCTCATCATCCTGGAAGCGCTTCTACAGAGCCTTTCTAGCTGCCTACCCCTATGTAAACATGACCTGGGAGGGCTGGTTTCTTATCCAGCAGATGTGCTACATCCTGGGCAAGGCTGAGCATCATTCCCCCATGCTGAAGCTGGCTGGTGTCCGCCTGGTCAGGCTGACTGCAGAGGATATCCAGGCCCTGGAGAAGAAATGGGCTGAAAGCACCTCAAGCCAAACACACAGGTATGGCAGAGCCTGGCTCAGGTGTTGCCCTCCAGGGTGTGTAAATTTAGAGGTGATGCTGCAAGTAAAAGTGCCCTGTTCTCTAAAAATTCAAGATGAAAGTTCACACTGACAAAATGTGCTCCAAAAGGGTGTGTGTATTGTGAGTGAAAATAAGGAAACCAGTAGCGGGGATTAGCTTGAAATGATTCTGTGGTGATAAAATTTCAGAGTTTGGGGGTGTTTTTTGCCATGCAAGCCTTCATTCTCTTCAATCTTCCCCTGCAGCGATGTTGCTGAAAGGATTGAAACTTATTTCTTTGATTTTCCTAAGCAGCAGCTAGTCATGGGCACACTGAATACCCTGTGAAATGGTGACCTGGAGTGAAACACTCTGTGGTCCAGGATCCTTTAATCCAAATTCTTCTGATTTAGACTTCTGAAAAAAAAAACAAACCAGGATTTGGATCTAAAAACAGAATCTGAAACATCCTAGTTAGTGCAAGCATGGTTCACACTGACCAACTAACTTAGCGTTAAGGAGCTGTACAAAGCTGTCACTCCCCAGGTGCTTTCCCCCATGGTTTCCAGGTGGATAAATGTGCAGTAACCATCTCTCCTGCTCTCTCTGCTGCAGCTTTTCCTCTCGAGTGCAGTCAGCCCTGAGGAGAGCTCTGGGTGGCATCGCCTTCTCGCTGTCCACCGGCCTGTCCGTCAGCGTCTTCTTCCTCCAGTTCCTGGACTGGTGGTACTCCTCGGAAAACCAGGAGACCATCAAGTCCCTGACAGCCCTCCCCACGCCCCCACCCCCTGTGCACCTGGAGCAGGAGCCCAGCCCAGCTCTCCTGCCCAGCCTGAAGACCGTGTGCCCTCTGTGCCGCAAGGTCCGCGTGAACGCCACGGCCCTGGCCACCTCCGGCTTCGTGTTCTGCTACCGCTGCGCCCACGCCTACGTGAAGGCTCACCAGCGCTGCCCAGTCACGGGCTATGCCACAGAGCTGCAGCACCTGGTCAAACTCTACTCCCCTGAGAGCTGAAAGGGCTCCCAGCAGCTCTTTGTACATCCCATGGAGGCTTCGGGCTGCTGCGGCTCCTCGGTGAGCGCTGCGGCGCTGTCGAACTCGGGGGTTCTTCAGCTTTGCTGCCTTTGCACGTTCTGGCAATGCTCTGCCCTTTGTTGATAAGCTGTTCAAACATCCTGGCAGCTGTAGAGGTATCACACAGCCCCAGCCTGTCAGCCAGCACAGAAATGCCTTAAAAGACCAGCTGAAAGGGAAGAAACATTGATTTGGGTAAGAGGAATGCAGATGTGAGGATCAAAGACCAGCACTGGTGCTGTGTGAGGGCATGAGCCAGCAAATTAAAGAGGTAGGGAAATTCTCTAGGCAGGTTTTTCTTCCCTGGGCAGCTTCCCAGTCCCTTGTGCTGCCCAGGGTGAGCTCTGGCTTTGTCAGAGATGGAGAGAGGCTTAAACCTCTGCTCTTCACCTTGGAATTGAAAACATCACCCTCCTAATTCCCATCAACGGTTCTAAATTAAGACTTTTAACTCTTTAAAGGAACAAGATAGACAAGAGAAATGTGACATTTTCTGCACAAGAGAGAAAATTACAAACCAGATTAAAAGAAACTGCCAACTGATGAGAGTGGTTTATTGTCAAATAAGTCTTTGCATTCATTATTATCTGCTTTTATAAAGCGAAATTCTTTCTTGATTGAGAACCTAATTTAATTCTTTTCTGGTTATTGGAAAAACAGTTTGCTCCTCTGGGGGCTCTATTTACATACAAGAGACAAGACTAAAGCTGCTTTCATCTTTGCATGTGATGGTAGTGGATGTAAGATTAGCATTTTGTAGGCTGAGAACCTTTCATGTCTGAGCATTACAATGCAATTATTCCAGTCCCAGCCATGTAGCACATTCATATCAGAACAAAACATCCTTCCACTGAACAGAGGAGGAAAGAAAAGCTGTGTGACATGGCTGGCTCTTGCTTGACACCTGATTTTTCAGGATGGAAGGTTGTTTTCCTGACTCTAGGGAGCAGCAGTGCTCCAGTTATCACAGTGACAGTGCTTAGAGAATACGAGAGCAAACTTTCTGCACAAAGTCCAGACCCCACTCTGGTCTTTCCAGATTCTTCTAACATTTAATCCACTGAACCAGGCATCTCATTTTCCCTCCACTTTAGCTCTGCTTCAGAAGATAAAAACCTCCAATATCCTCCTTCACCTGTAAGCAAGAGAGTAAGGTTATTGAATAATGTGGGAAAATGCAGTAATTTGAATCTTTCCCAAACACCTAATAAATGAGATTTGTTCCTGATGTTTTATTATCTCTGTACACCTCCCTGGCCCTTCTACCTGTGCCACTATGGAATAATGATAAAAACTGTCTCATTTCTCTCTTCTCCAGTAGCAATGGGGCCCATGAAGATACTCCTCTTCCTTTAGAGCCAGTAAGAACACACACATCTTACTGGAAGACAAATCACATCAAAGTGTGAGATTTTCTGAGGTTCCCAATGACAGCTCCTTCTCCCAGGACTAATGCCTGTTCCTCTCCCCAAAATGCCCAGCAGATGCCCACCTGCCAGGCCCTGGCTGCTTTCCACTCCTGCACAACCCCTGTCCCTGCCAAACTTGGGTTTGGCCAATTCCAGGACCTGCACAGAACCACCCACACTGAAGCCTCCCAGTTCTGAGCAGCTGTAATTATTCTTTTACACAATAAATTGTCCTGTAAAGCTTAGCTGAGTGACAAGCATCAAACCCACCATGGTGACAGGCTCAGCAGTTACCTGGCAGATTTTGTGTGTTCCTGGAGATGGCTGCAGGATGTCAACTTGGATTTGACTCCTTTGAAACCTCCTCATTAATACTCATTTGTCATGTTTCTTGCTCTAAAACTAAGCTACAAAACCAGTTTGGGTCACAGAAAAACTCCAATTTATCTGCTTTTTAACTGTATTCTTAAAACCACAATGGGCTAAAGATTGACAAGAGCAGTTTTTTCAGGGAGCACCAATTTTATTAAACCAACCTTTGGACTTACATACCAATTTGTGATTTCTACAGAATCATGTACCACATACACCCTCAGGATGCTTTGGTGTTGCTCAATACAATTTCACCAACATGAACAGCAGCACTGGAGTTGTTCAGTATCCACTGCCAGGACTTGACTTGCAAGTCTTTTAAAAATTCTTTGGTGAATCTAAGGCACATTCACAGCTCATCTAGGCAGTGTTCAAAAATCAGAGCATGAAGCAACTGAGTTTTTGCTATTTCCTCAACAAACAAAGTGGCTTTTCCTGTTAAGGGAAAACCACTGAAACATTCTCCTAGGTATATTCCTCATTGATGCTTCCTTCTCCACAGGGACAGAGAAATCAATACAAAGATGTCATCAGGATCTGGAAAAGACGAAAAAAACTGAATTAGAGAATAGCTGCATCTTTTTTTCCTGGGCCCTTCCCTCAACCCCAAAGGGGTTACACTTCATGGAGAGTGTTCAAAAAATACTCCCGGATCCCTGCTGGCAAGCACTAAATGAGAATGCAGCTGAATGAACTGCTAATGAGCTTCTACAGGACAGACAACTCAGAGTCTGCATTGCACTTACAGAGGAGACAGTGGCAGAGTATCTGGAGTTTGTGATCCACAGCACACACAGGAGATAAAACCCACATCCCGCCCTCACTGCAAGCTCACACAATGCTGCAGCAACGAGTATTTGGGTTACTTTTCAAATCAAGGCTTTTTCTGCCGTTAAATTGCTAAAAATTCTCAGTTTTTTTTGTTTTTTTTTTAGGGTGCATCAAAGTTTATAGAACAGCAAAGCTGTTCCCTGCAGACGAGCTTAGCCTGAAGTAGCTCAGAGAGAAGATTAAGTGATCATGCCCTGGTCAGAGCCGAGACACGGAGTCTGGGCAATACCAGTTCAGACTATACTTCGCTCATCATTGCTTCTGGGCAAATCTGTTTGCCTCCAGCGAGGAGCTCGCTCCCCAGCCAGGGCCTGGGAGGTTTCCTCCTCCCTAGGAGGGTGAAGCACGTGGAGCAGGGAGCACAGGGACGGAGGTGACATTCCTTCTACAGCTGGGTCACAGACTGGCATTCCAAGGTCAGCAGAGCAAACCCAAGAGGAAAAACGTGTCATACCTACAAATGCTGCTGCAGTCAGCGCCTCTCCAAGGCTCCGGAGGTCTGTTTGCATCCCTCCCTTCCCTCATGCCACACACGCTTACACTCTTCCCATCTCCTTCCCTGTATCCTCCCCACCAGGTCCCTGCAGCTCTTCAGTCCCAGTTCCTCTGCCGTGCTCGCCTTACCCCATCCAACATCCCCGGAGCTCCCAGAAATCCTCCCCGCACCTCAGGAAACCCTAAACCTCGGCCGGCTTCACGCTCCTCAACCAGCCCCCAGAGCCCCTTCCGCGTCCCCTCACCCTCCCTGTCCCCATCCCCGCACGCTCCGAGCCCTCAGCTGCCCCTCCGCGGTCCCGGACCCCCGGTATCCTGAATCCCCGATATCCCGTGTCCCCCGTTATCCCGGACCCCCGTTATCCCGGATTCCCGGTGTCCCGTGTCCCCGTTCCCGCACCCCTCACGCCGCTCCACTCCCGCAGGCCCGGCCGCACCGGGACAGAGCCGCCCTCTTCGCCCCGCCCCTCCGCTGGTAACAACCAATCACAGCACCCGGTTTTACCGCTGGCAGCCAATAGGAAGGCGCGTTAGAGGAGCTGGGGGCGGTGCGAGCGTTTCCCGCCCTGAGGGAGCCTGAGGGGGCCTGAGGGAGAGGGTGGTCCCGATAGTGTAAAACTCGTGTTCCGCCCGTGTTTAGCTAAAAGAAATGCCAATAAATGCATTTTACAGAAGTTATTTCCCCACTCAACTCCAGCAACAGTCAGTTAGTAGAACGCGGTTGCTCCAAAGAGAAGCTTTAGTGGGAGAAGGGAAACTTTGCCGTGCAATACCAATGGCATTTTGTCTTGGCGTCAGAGATGCTGGTTAGGTAAACATGCACAGAGGTAATGTAAAGTACTTTCGAAAGCCAGGTTCAAAAGCCCTAAAAATGGGTATCCAAAATTGAAGGATGGTAGAAAACAAACCATATTTCCCACCAGAGAATGTGGTTCTCTCAATTTGGAACAATGGCCTGATATCCCCCAGAAGTGATTATAAAGAACCAGCGATTTAACTGAAAGTTATTACATTCATTCAATACAGCTGGAATAACCCTCCAAATAAATTTGCCTTCAGGATATCAAACCTATTGGCTTAAAATTTTCACTCTTTTCCAAATTCAGAACACTAGAGACACTTTAATTTCTTTTTTTTTCCCCTTAACATGCAAGAGAAAACTATCCTCATAGTTCCTTTTTTTCCCAAAATTTCAACATTTCATCATGCTATGCCTATTGTGAACATCACTAATATTTAGTATTATCAGAAATATTTTAATGTAGTTGAATTAATATTTAAATTATTATTGAGTAAGATTATATTTATTACATGTTTAGGGACTTTTCCCCAGGAACCAAACCAACAGTCTGTGATTTTTGTGTTGTCCACAGCCTGCATTAAGAACCTGTGCTTGAATGAAAATATTTATGTAATGAAGTTTAATGTGTGATGACTGGTGGATTGCTTCTCATTCTGCTTTTTTCATAAATGGGATATTTTCAACATTCCTGTGCCTTGGTGTGACACCTTTGTGACTCTGCTGCATTTGGGAGCACTGGATGGTTTGCAAGGAGTGAGAATTCAACCTGTGTTACCAATTACACAATTTTTCCAGGTGTGATGCAAGACTTGCCTTAAATTCTCCTTTAGCTTAATAAAATCAGAACAGGGATTCCACATGGAACAAAGTAGTGAATTTATTAAGAGTTCACCCACCGTCCTCACACTTTGGCACACAGCTTCCAATAAATGAACAAAAAGGCACACAGCTAAAATCCTATTTTCTGACTACAGAATAGAAGGCACTTAACCCTCCCTGTTCCACCATTGCTGGGAATTCCAGAAGTACCAGGAGCTGGAAGTGGATGCAGAACCAATTTTAGCTTTGTTGAGTTTCCTTCCAACAACCTCCTGACACGTCTCCAACACAAGTGACTCTTTTAGAGCTGAAGCTTTCATCATTATCAGCTGAATGGGGGCAGAGAAAGGATTTACACCATCTGGGAATTACTCAGATGGACACGTCCCAAATTTCCCAGGCAAATTCCCTCCTTTTCCTCATACAGTTTATGATCCTCCAAAGCTGTCCCCAAACTGTTCAGTGCCTTGACAATGGCACTAGATTCTCCTCACGGCTCTCACTTTTCCATATTTCTCCATTTTTTCCCCCCACACTCAGCCTTTTTTTGGTGCTTTTCATTCCCTCACGCCTGCGAGAGAGGTTTGATCAGCTCATAATCCATGCACTTGGTGAGGCAATCTCGTGCCACACTGATGATGTGCTGCTTCTTGGGGTGATCCTCCTGCTTCCCGACGTACGTCAGGATCTCCAGGAGCTCTGACTCCACCATCTTCTTCGCCAGTTCCTTGTCAGAGCTGATTAAGTTGAAAGCAATGACCAGTCCTCGGTGCTGGATCTCCATGTTGTCATGCAAGCAGAGCCTCTGCAGGATTTCAAGCCACTGGGTGGTCTGCAAGGGAAAGAGAGATCATTAGGACTGATCTGAAGAATATCTCAACCAAAAGCATGACTTTGGCTTCCTTCAGCAGAAGGAAGAGCAGTATTCATGTCACTTGTGGTTATTTCATTATTTTAAACTAAGGAAACCTGACTCCAAACATTTTAATCCAATTTTTCTTACACCTAAGTCAGAATCTTCCACAGCACTGGGACAAAATGGAAAATGTTTCATATTCAGGCTGCTGCATAATCTCTGTGAAAAGAATCTGACCAGAGTCTTGACACAGCTGAGATGACCAGGACACCCCCCCACCCCAACCTTCTTGAGTTGGCTTGATTAATAATTTTTCTTAACGAGCTCCAGAGTCCAATCATGTCCCCCACCCCAACCTTCTTGAGTTTCTCTGTTGGCTTGATTAATAATTTTTCTTAACGAGCTCCAGAGTCCAATCATGTGTGCAACAAAATAGAGTTCAGGAGTTCTCAACCACAGCTCTTCAGACACTCAGCCATGCAGGCTCTGGATTCTCAGGGCCTAGAGATCTGTGCAGGGAAGGGACATCTTTGGGATCTCCAAAGCTCTTCTCATTTCTGGTGTAACAAGGTTTGGATTTCAGGTTATTTATCAAAGGTCCCAGCTTCTCTAGGCTCCTCAGTATTGAACTAGTAAACTGCATATTCCTTTGGAGAGACCTCCTCACGTCTGAGCCAGGACTCTTGCAGGGTACATCCCACACACTGCCCACAGCCAGAGTTATGGCCTCACCACTTGAGTCATCTTCGAGCAGAGCTTCTTTTGTGCTGCTGTAAGCATGGCCAGGGCTCCTGCTGCTGCAACCTGAACCTTCTCATCATCCTCACCACACAGCAACACCACCAACTTCAGCCGGTCGTTGCCATCAGCCACAAACCGCTCCTGAACCTGAAAAACCCAGAGATACCCAGAGGCAGCACAGTTAGGGACAGCTCCTCACAGAAGCAGGGGCATGCAGTGAGCTTGGACATGCCCAGGGGGGATTTTACCTCCTTGTTGACCACCAAGTTGCACATGCACTCAGTGGCCGCCTGTCGAAGTTGGTCGTGGTTCTCAAACATGTAGTTTTCGATATCTGGCAGGGCCTTCTCTTTGACTATCTTCAACCTGTGGCAAAGAGCAGTAAAAACCCCACACTATAGGTCAAGCAGTCATCAACTTATCAAATATTAGCTGCAGGGAAGGCCTTGAAACAAATCAATGTCTGGAGCTCGTGATGTGGTTCATTCCCTGTTTAATGCAGACGAAGTTCATGTCTTTGCTGTTTCTAGAGGAAAATATGCCACTCTCCTTTTCCTATCTCATCAGTCTTTTAGCTGTGAGACCTTTGTAGCTCTGCCAAAGGTAGCTCAAACTGTCCAGTCTTCACAGTCCAACAAGTAACTCAAATTCACTCCTGGGGAAGAAGGAAGGTTAAAAAGCAGTAAAGCTCACCTAAGTTTATCACTTCTTCCTGAAAAGTTTGTGAGACCTAAGAGAGCCTCGTAGTTCTGGAGGCCATCTCTCTCTGTGTTCAGCAGGCTGACAAGGGGCCTCACCACCTCATACACCTGGAAGAGAAGGCCTGTATTAGCAGTTTTCATTTGCTAAAGGAAGTATCAATGCTTTTGTTTTTATTATTTTTTAAGCTTACCCTCTCCCCTGGGAATGCAATGTCTGGATTGGAGATAGCAGCAATTTTTGCCAGAGCATGAGAAGCCTTTATCTTGCCAACGTCTGTGCCTTCCACAGCCAGAGGTATCAGGGCCTGGAGACACACAGGAAAAAGCATTCAGTGTGCTGAGAAGATTTACAGGACTGCCTCAACAGACTAAAGCAAGTTAAAAATATCCCACAGCCCTCTGTGATGTCTTGCTTTTGTTCTCAAAGAGACACCGCCAGAGCTTGTAGCTCACGCAGTCACTCCAAGAACATCACTTCTTTGGAGCCTTGCAGAGGTGGAACTGCAGTGTCAGTATGGCCCCGGGGGGACAGCTTGTGCTCTTCTGTCACTGTCCCTCACAGGAGAGCACCCCAGGCTCCCAGCAGACATTAACAGCACATCAGGAAATGCCAACATGAAAGTAATCACCTTCCCGCCACCTTGAGCGACAATGGTCCCGCGGTCCTTGGGGTCTTCACACAAGGCAAGAAACACCCTGCAGGGGCACAGAACACTCAGTGAAACAGCCACGGGGGACAGCAGCAGCCAACAGCCCTCATGGAAGGGGGCTGAGGTTTTGCAGGAGTGCCAGAGCCACCAGGTAAATTCCAGGTGCTTAACCACATGCACACTGCACTCCATGAGGAAGCAACAAATGGCAGAGGAAGAAGTTTTCAGATCTGTAAAATGAACTCTATTCCAGCCAGAACCAATACAGAGAACTCAAAAATGCATTCCAGCAAGACAGCTTGAAGGTCAGAACATGAATTTTTATGACACCTCTGAACAAAAACTTTGGTTTTAAATCTTTGCTTCACACGCTCTCCCCCAGGCAGAATGCCCCACCCCAGGTGTCCATCCCCATGGCACAGGGGCTGCCCAGCACTCCCAGAACTGCAGGGAAGGCACCTGGCAATGAGCTCCTTGGTCTGGTCAGTCAAAATGGCACTGTCAGCCTTCACCATGCAGGCCAAGGCAGAGACAACCCCAGCCTTCAGCAACCGCTTCACCCGCTTCACCACAAAATCCTTCTTGTCCTGAGGAGGAAACATTGGGAAAGGATTAGCCCTTAGCAGCTGCCATTCTGCCACCCAGCCACCTAACAGCCAAGCCTGGTTGGAGAGCAAGCAACTTGAGTCTGTGAGACCTGAAGTCTGTGACAACGGATACACCGAAGAAAGCCTTTCTGAAGAGCATCTCCAGCTGGACACAACCCACCTTT